TGCGTAGTGCTGCTTGTATGAAACGAGTTAGTATGTGGTAAGTGCAGAGTACGGTGTCGGGCACGCCGTAAGCGCTAAGTAAATGTCAGCTGTTATTGGTAACTGTTCCCTCACCTTATCAGCTCTCTACCTTCCTCCTACCCCCAAGGTTCTCAAGCATCCTGTTTCTTTGGTTTAGGGTCAATCCCCCCTTAGAAGTATAATCTTCTCTTCTGAGGGTAAAGCTGCTCCAAAGGTGTAAGCAATAATGGGGATTTCAGGGATCACTGCAGGCTCTTGGGAAGTCTTTTAGGGACCAGCACTCACTCTCCTGGGAACTCTTAACTTTGCCCAGGTGAGTGGCTTTATACACTTGCCTCTGGAGTCTGGAAGGAAGATGGGGAGCGGGGGGGGTAGTGGCAGCACCCAACTTTTGGGAAGATGGGGAAACAGCTCTGTTGGTTTTTTGCTTCTCCTTCCCCCTCCTACACTCCCATCTCCTCACTTATTCTAGGCCCCACATATCCCCTCTCCTCGTCTTCCTCTTGGGACTCAGGTATCTTGGCCTGATGCTAGGAAAGCAACTGAATTTCATGCAAGGTTGATGTTCACTGGGTCTGAACCACAAACTCCTATTCTCCGTCTGTAGGGCCAGAGCCAGCACAGAAGGAGCAGCCTGAAGGCAGAGGCTTGGCTGTTGTTGGAACTCCTAGGCTGTTGTGGCTGGCCCAAGGGCAAAAGCAATAACTAGAGATGAGACATCTTAAGGAAGCTGGGCTGGGGTTGGGGAGACAGAGATGGGAAGCTGGAATTAGAGCATTGCCCTAGGGCTTGAGACTCATTTTAGAGAAGAGGAACCCAGCCTGGGCAGGGACTCCTCCAAGGCGGAGCCCTCAAGCTCTCTCAGGCCAAGTTCCCCTCCAGGCTTCTTTGCTTAGCCACGTTAAATTTGCAAAGAGCTCTGATAGCTACAATCCCATGCATCCTTCCGGAGAGCCCTCTAAAGTGGCGGCTGCTCTTGTGCTCATGACCAGAGTCTTGAAAACGATCTTAGAAAAGTTGTCACGCATGCACCCATTTAGCAAAATTTATTAAGTGCTCTCTGTATGCCAGGAAATAAATCCGGCTTTCCTGATTTAAGGTCTTGCCACATATTTGCTTCAATATATTGATTCCTGATTGCCCCTCCTCCTAAATTTGCCTCCCAAACAAACACCCACTTTCTGCTGTGGCTTTGAAGTATCTACAAATTTTTTGACACTGCTCCCTTCAAGAAGTAAAACCTAATTTCTCTTCAGAGGAAGCTGGGCTACAAAAGGCACTGTGGCTTCCTGCTCATTCCCTCTCTCTCTGATCACTTGCTCTGGGGGAAGCCCACTGATATGTAATGAGCACATCTATGGAGACATCCAATGTGATAAGGAACTGAGACCTCTAATCAACATGTGAGTAAGCAGGGGAGCAGATCTGCCAGACCTGGCCAACATCTTGGTTGCAATCTCAGGAAAGGTCCTGAGCTAGCCCCCCCCCCCCCCTACAAGCTGCCCTTGGATCTCTAGCTCTCAATAACTGTGTAAGATGTGAATGTTTTTGTTTCAACCTGCTGAGTTTGGGGGGTAATTTTTTATGCAGCAATAGATAACCAATATATCTTCCTCACTGTAGGAACCCCCACTTTCCCCAAAACCAACTCGTACCTTTCCCAAGCAGCTCAAATCATTTAAGTTTCCTTTCCTCTTACACTCAGGTGAGGTAGTAAAGTGAGTCAGCAAACCCTGCATTCAAATACCTGTGGCTGCTGCTTTTTAGCTGCGGTGCATTGGGCAAAGTTACTTAACCTCTCTGTGCCTCAGTTTCCATATCTGTCAAACAATGATGAAAAGGAAGATTATAAAGATGGAATCAGGGAATAGATCTGTGAGAATACCTGGCCCAATGCTGGATGTTTGGTAGGCACCTGATAAATCTGAGCTCCCTCTGGCCCCCTTCTAATCTTCCAGTTCCTGACCCCTTTGCATGTTCCCAAGTCCTTGCCTACAGAGGCTGGGACTAGGACCAGCAGCTTTAGGAGCTCCCCATTCTCTTCCTGCCTTTGGAGACAGAAGAGGAGGAGACCTGTCCTGAGCCTGGGTTTCTCCCAGTCTTGGGGTGAGAAGAGACTTGTCCAGAGGCAGGATGTACAGCTGGAAAGGCCCTTTTGCAGAGCAGGGGCTCCAGCCTAACCACCCCATCAGGTCCTCTAAGGATGAAAGGAGTCTACAGTGCCACTAACTAGGCCCTAACATATTAGGAAAACTGCTCTTACCAAGGCTTTGCCCATTTTCCCTTCCTTTCAGCAGCTTTCTCCCCACCTTTAAAAATTTTAATTTATCTTAATCTCAAATAATATATGAAAAATATTAGCCAACATTTCCCAAGAATTTACCAGCTAAGTTTCTAAGATGCTATGTGTCTCCCAACCAGTTTATGAGGCAGGTTCCTATGTTAGCCCCATTTCACAGTTGAGAAAACCAAGGCATAGGAGTTAAGTAAATTGCCCAAGGTCACATAGAGGCAAAAAGAAGCTAAACGAAGCTCAGACTCCAAGGTCAGTACCTCGTTTACACAGGCTGTTCCAAGGCTCTGCTTAATTCTGTATTCATATTTAGCAGTGCTTTTCTTAAAGAGGCTCACAAAATCTGGATGCTGCCTCAGAGGCAACAGATGCAGTATGCTCTTTTCTTAAAGATATTTTAAAAATACATTTACATCTACAAACACATATGGAAACAGATCCCCCCCACCCCTCCGCCGTGCGCTTAAAAAAAAAAAAAAATACTTACGGTCCTACCCAGCTCTTTTAACTGAAAGCCTTGACCGTCTTTCCGTTTCTAACCCTCGCGGGGTATGCGCCACAGAAACGCACAGATATTTGCTCACCTTCCCAGAGTTCAGCCCTCTACTCCTCTACCAACCGTGTTCGCCCCTTCTCCGGGGTTCCTGGCCGCCTCCCCACGTGTTCTGCCTTCGTCCGGCTCCTCGTCCCCGTTTGCTCTCTCACATCGCCCCCTCCCTCGTGTCCTCGCCACCTCCCCTCCGTCCCCCTCCCTAGCTGCCCGAGCATTTCTCCCCTCTTCCAGCCTCGCGCGGGTACATCACCGCCCGTTTTTTACACCCCCATTGACCCCTCTCTCACCCCCGCTTCTTCCCGGCCAATCTCCCTCACCCTTACTCACAGATCCCCCACGCCTGACCCCTCCCACTTCCACCCCTCCAGCCCAGCCACCCTGTCGCCCAGCAGGAGCGCACAGCCGGCAGGCTAGGACGCGCGCTGACAGGGTAATGAATGGCTTCAGCGGTAATTAGCGACCCGGCGGCTAATCACGATGTACATTTACATTTTAAGTGCTGCAGAGGAAGCGGGGAAGGGGAGGGGCGCCGGAGGGAATGCGGGCCTGTTTGGCGCTCTCCCTTCGCTGGGGAGCGAAGTGAATCCGAGTCTTCTACAGCTGGCAGTAGTAGAAGGGGGAGAAGGGTGCTTTCGAGGGCCAACCCAAGCGGACGCAGAACAGCCGCGGGCTAACCCGACGCAAACCCGGAACTCCCAGGCCCCTTCCTCTAAATTGCAGACCCTGCCTGTATCCCCTCCAAGTGAAACTTCAGCCTAGGCTTGCATACTCCTGCAAGGAGTGCTCGCTTCTTCCCTAACCAGCCCGTTCTAACGTAGATTTCACCCGTTCCAGGACTTTCTTCCAGGCCTAGCCGAAATTGCTGCCTGAGGTTCCCTGCGCCCCGCCACGCGCTGCAGTCTTTGTGTTCTATCGAGGCTGCCGTGCCCGTTCTCCGTGGGGCTCGCGGGAGCTGGGGCACAGCTGAAGTCCCGGTTCCAAGTGGAAGGCGACCCCGAGAGCTCCTGAGCCCAGCGTGCAATCAGGAGATCCAGGCCAGAGTCGGTCACTCATACGTTGGGGCGCAAAGGTCCAGCCACTCCCCTAAGGGGCGAAAATGGGGTCAGCCGGGTTCTGAACAGCAGGGCCGAGAGCTAGGACATATAAGATGACGAGGAGATGAGAACAGCTGTGAGAAGGGAGAAGGAGACCCTGGCAGCTCCGTCTCAAGACTGGGACCCAGCTCCCCCCAGGCACCGTCAACCCGCCCTCACTTTGAGGTTTCCCGCCCGCCGCAGCTCTCCGGGAACCTCCCCGCCACGCCCGGCGGTAGTACCCCCTACCCGGATCAGGTCTGCCCCGCTTTATCTGTGCGCGTGAGCGAGGGGGTGTAAGGGTGAAGGGCAAGGCCCTAGCGCACTTCTAGGGAGGGTCCAGCTCCTTTTAACTCCCCTCCCATCACCAGTCCTTCAATCCCAGCCTCACCTCTCACTGTCCACTTCTTCAGGTAGGAGGTCGGGCCACCCTCTCGGTCCTGTGGAGTTCCCGGAGAAGGGCACCCAGTAGTTTCATAACGCCCCCGAGGCTTCAACTTCCCACCTTTCTTCTCCCTCTCAAAACCTGCCTTCATCCAGCCTCCTTTTTGAAAAAGGACCCCACTGGATCTCAGGCTGACTAACAACGAGTACCACCTGGGAAGAAGGGGGTTCCACATTACCAGGGAACAGTGCCTGTTTTACCCTAAAACCTGCAGCTTTAATAGTAGACGTTGCGTGGGCGGAGGGAGCTTAACTCCTCTTGATAAGGTCTCTCCTGGTTCTCTTCCCGTTCGCCTCAGGGTCAGCCTGGCCTGGGGCGTCACCCCCTCGGTCCAGGAGTGTACTGGGGTCCGGGAGCCTCCAGCTCCGGTCAGGCGCGGCGAGCTGAGACCCCATTCTCTGGCCGCACTGGGAGTACCACTCCGCGACGTAGTCGTCCGAGGGCGGCACGGGGCGCAGCGGCAGCCAGCGCCTCCGCACTCTGCTGACCGTGCACAGGCTGTCCTTGAGGCGAAAAGAGCGGCTCCGGCGCGGGAGGCAAGTTGTTGGGGGGGGGGGGGGGGAAGAGGCCCCAGCAGGCCTCTCGGAAATACCTCCTTGAGAGGGGACAAGGGGCGGCCTTCAGTTGGAACGCGCAAGGGCTCGGGGACCGGCTTGAAGCGGCTTTTGCATCGCAAACGCAGTTTTTATTTAGGTTGTCCGTTAATGAGGGTTGGCTTAGGGAGGGCACTGGCGATTATGGGGGAACTTCCTCTGGCAAGTCACCCCCTGGCGCTGCCATTACACCTGCCGGTGCGCACCGCTCCCACGCCCCAGTGTCTGGACTCGACTGGATTCTGGAGCCGGGAGAGTCTAGGACGCGGGCGGGCCGAGCCGAGTTAGAGGCGGGGCCTGGCGGCAGGGGCGGGGGCTTCCAGGCTCCCAGGCGGGGCCTCAGCTAAAGGCGCGGAGCACCGCGCGCCTAGAGCGCGGCGTAGAGCAGCGCCCACTGGAGAGAAGTCTGAGGCGAGGATCGCGCCGTCCCACCCCGCCCAACAGCGTCCACGCCGCTTCCGCACCCTTACCCCTGCCGGCCCTTGCCGGGCGCGACCGGCGGCCATGCAGCCCCGGGGCTGAGGCGGCCCCATGGCGAAGCCCGCGTCGCCGCGGTCCGGGCAACGACGGCGCATGGAGAACTTCCGTAAGGTGCGCTCGGAGGAGGCGCCGGTGGGGGCCGGGGCCGAGGGGGGCGGCGCGGGCCCCGGCCCTTTCGCGGACCTGGCGCCGGGAGCCGTGCACATGCGGGTCAAAGAGGGCAGCAAGATCCGGAACCTGCTGGCTTTCGCCACCGCCAGCATGGCGCAGCCAGCCACGCGCGCCATCGTCTTCAGCGGCTGCGGTCGGGCCACCACCAAGACCGTCACGTGCGCAGAGATCCTCAAGCGCCGCCTGGCGGGCCTGCATCAGGTCACGCGGCTGCGCTACCGGAGCGTGCGCGAGGTGTGGCAGAGCCTCCCGCCGGGGCCCACACCGGGTCAGGAGCCTGGTGAGCCGGCCGCCAGTCTCAGCGTACTTAAGAACGTGCCCAGCCTCGCCATCCTACTTTCCAAGGATGCACTGGATCCCTGCCAACCCGGCTATCAGCCCCCGAACTCCCATCCTGCACCCTCGTCCCAGCCAACTGCACCGACGTCCAAGAGGAGCCTAGGGGAACCCGCAGCTGGAGAAGGCTCTGCGAAGCGGTCACAACCTGAGCCAAGTGCTACGGAAGAGGACCAGACGGCCTGAGAACTAGTGGGTCTGGGCCACCTACACCGGCTGGGTCTCACCCGCAGCGCCTCGACCTTGAGACATATCTCCAGCAGCCTTTTACGCCTCGGTGCTCTGGACACAGCTCCTCAGACTGTCAGCGTGGAGCACAAGGCAACAAGAGAGGGACCCTAGGGAAGCTTCGTGGGTGGTTGCTTCTCTACTTGTGTTGCCTGAAGACGCAGAACTCCCACCTTCAGCTTTTCTGAGCCATACTAGGACCTTCTTGGAGGGGGGGCGAAAGTGGGTAGTGGTGGGCAGTGGGACTCTTGAGCCTTGCTCAAGACCCCCAAGGGTTAAAGGCATCCAGTATTCATGCGGGGGGCTGGAGTGTGGAAGCCCGGGAAAGCTCTTGGAATCATCTTCATTGGTGGCTAAGGGCCAAGGGTGAGAAGGCAACTGCTGGAGGGCAGGGGAGTCTGAGTTGGGGGGGGAGTGTATTCTGCACGTCCCCTGGGACACCACTCCCTTCTAGTTTTCCTTACCCTGCTCTTAAGGAGCATCCTGAGGTCATACTGCAGGAGTGCCTCCATGGATGGACTCTAGCTCTTTTAACACCCCCCCCCCCTTCCCCACTGGCCCAGAGGGAAAGACCCAGCACAGAAGTCTATGCCTACTCCCTGAATCTCACAGCTGGAGTCCTGCTTCCAATAAAACAAAAACAAAAAATGGCTCTGGCCCCCGGCTTTTTCCTTATCACTTAACCTAGGTGGAGGCTGTTTTGGCCTGCCCCCCTGTGTCTCAGTCCCCACCAGCCTGGAGTCCTTGGCCTTTGGAGTCTTCAGGGTCAGGCACAGAGACTGGATCGCCTCAAAATGGAGCAAGAGGTACATTGTCCAGTTTCTGTCTTCTCCCTCTCCCAGCCTTCCCTGGCTGGCTCTAGCCTCAGGGGCTTGTGGCCAGAAGGGGGCCTTTGTCCCTTGATGCATTACCTCTGAGGGTTGGTGCATTACCACATTGCTTTTCTGAGAAGGGAAGGAAGGCAAGCACCAATGAACTCTCCTGAGGGTCACTGCCAAGGGAAGCATACCCCACTGGGTTCCCTAAACCCGCAGCCTCCTGCCAATTGACAGCCTTATCCAAAAAGCTGGCACAAAACCCCTCATCGCCATCGGTAGGATCTCCCCTTCACTGCTCTCTCTCTCAGAAAGGACAGCGCACCCTTGGGAGAGGGGGAGGAGTGAGGGTGAGGAGAAAGAATGAGCACAAATCCACTGCTGGAAATTACTATTCAGCAGAGAAGCTGGAACTTGGGCTGTGAATCACTGCAGGCTCCCTGATAAGCTGCTGCCTCCAGCCCTGCACAGCTGTCTGTTGAGAGATAACAGCCTCATAAGCCATTCTGCCCAACTCATAGTTGGGTGGGGGGAGGGGTGCTGTGTACAGAAGGACTCTAGCAGGTGAGGGTGGGGGCGGCACAGAGCTCCAGGATCTCAGAAACAGACCCTACCACGTGCAACTCAACATCACCTCTGGAAAAGAGATGGGGAGAATTTAAGTCACTTCGCTGGCAGAATCCTGAATAAATTCTTCCGGTGACAAGAGGTGAGTTTCTGCAGCTGAGAGGAGGGGCTCTTCAGGGAGTTGTCCCCCACCTATATTTCTCCTTGAGCTTTGGATCAGTGAGCCCTGTCATCTAGACTCTGGCACGGTTTACCCTCCCCAATTTCTTGTTCTTGATGAGTCCCTGGGAAAGGCCAAGGGGTTTATGTGTACTTGTCTGACCCTCTCACAGGTGGTCCAAGAAAGCTGGAAAAAATGCACTAGGTGCCCTGGGCTGGTCCTGGGCTTTGTGCCTCTAAAGGACATGATAAAACTTGGAAGAGGCCCTGCATGGTAGAAGCTTACAAAAGACTGGTCTTGGTTCTGGAAAAGGGCCAACTTTCCAAAACCAGTATCTGAAGTCCTGATTGCCAGGTCACCAAGACTATGCAAGCAGAGGCTTGTCCGGGAGGGGAGGCTGCAGAGGCTTTCTTTTTTTGATGGCAAGGATCAGCGAAGTCCCTTTCCTGCCTAGAAACTCATCCTGTGGCATGGGGAGAGGGGCTTGTTTCCCCACCTTTAGGGTATTAACCTGCACTGATGGTGGGCTGAGCTGCCCCCCGTACCAGAAAGCAAGTAATGAAACACTTTCTTTTCTGCACCCCCACTCCACCCCAGCACATTCAGTTCCCAAGCTTTTGATAGGTGCTTATGGGTGCCAGTGGAACCCAGCACCCATGAGCACCCCATCCCCGCCTTACTGATCCTCTGGCCCTGCTGACCCAGGAGCAGGCTCCAAAGGAAGGTGACAGATATGCATATACACCCCCCGCCCCCGAGACTGAGGTGGGAACCTGAGAAGTGCCGGAATAAGCGGGGAGTGGCTACAGGAGCACTCATCCACAACATCGTCAGGCCACACAGTCAAAATCCATTTGGGAACATAAATGTATATAATACAAGGACGGAGCATGTGGTCAATGGGCAGTGGATCTCCAGCTGGGCATTAAGGGACTTCATTATTGTTGTACCAGATCCCAGTCTAGGCACAGGGTGGGGCCAGGGCAGGGGGCTAGGGGAAAGGATCACAGTAAAATCAGACATTATTCCTGCCTCGAGGACGTCCCAGTTAGTGGAAAGAAAGAAAAGAAAGTTATAACACAACGCAATGGTAGTGGGAAAAGGTGGGAGCTCTGAGAAAGGGCGCTTAATGCACCCACAGGTGCTGATGCAGCTGGTTCCCCAAGGACCAGAGGAGTTAGCCAGCCGAGTAGGACTGGTCTGGCAATTCCAGGCAGAGCACAGAGAGGTGATGCTCTGTCTCGTGTTGAGGCAGCCACAAGTATCTGAAGGATATCTGGTTTTGTTTGACATCTGCTGATTATCATAGATATTGTGGGTTGAAGTGTGTCTCCCCCGCCACCCCCCAAAAGATATTTTGAAGTCCTAATCCTGGTACCTGCGAATGTGACTATTTGGAAATGGGTCCTTACAGATGTAATTAATATGTAAGAAGGGGTCATACTGAAGTAGGATAGGTCCTTAATCCAATATGACTGGTGTCCTTATAAAAAGAGACAGACATACAGAGAGAAAAACAACATCTGAAGACGTAGTCAAAGATTGGAGTTACACAGCAAGCCAAGGAATGCTGAGGATTGCCCGCAAACAATAGAAGCTAAGAAAAATGCATGGAAGATTCTTCCCCGGATCCTTCAGAGAGAGCATGGTCCTGCCGACAACTTGATTTTGGACTTCTAGCTTCCAGAACTATGAGAGAATAAATTTCTGTTGTTTCAAGTCACCCTGTCTGTGGTAGTTTGTTACAGCAGACTTAGGAATCAAAAACAACAGGTATTCTCACTATATCCAGTGGAAACAGGGAAGAGGAATGTAAGGTGTTTGCCAAGGTCCTTGCTGTCAGAATTCCCAGTCCTGCGTGGAGAGAGGCTCTCTATTCCGCAGGCCTGTGCTAGCAAATGTAATGCCTAGTGTCATATAGAACATACCATAGGCTTTGAAGAAAGTCAAGTTGACTGTGATTTGGGGCAACTTAATTCTTCACTGAGCCTCAGCTTTCTCCTCTGCAAAATGGGCCAGATTGCTGTGGGATAAAGGACATAATAATACCTTGCTTCCCAACCATGGTTCATCATCAGAATCACCTAAGGAAATTGTTAAAAAAAATACAGAATGCCTGGGCCGAACTCCAAACCAACAGGGTCAGAATCTCCTACAAAGGACCTGGAAATAGGCATTGTAATAAGATCTTCATATGATTTTTGATGGTTAATCAGGTTGACTATTCCCTGAGCTAAAATGTAGAGAACAGCACTCACTGGTAGGAGAGACATGAAATTAAATCCTGTTTCTTTCCCTTCACATTCAGCCACAGTTTGAACCCTTTTCTGGGGAGAGAAACTTAACTGCTGAAGAACTGTTGTGAGCTGCCCCCTAGAGGTGGTTCTGGAAAAGAGAGACCAGGCTCAGGGAGCTGGGAGGTAGAGGGAGATCCCTGTTGAAGAGCAGGTAATGAATGGACTCAGAGCACAGGGCTCCCCTGCCCTAGGCCCTGTTTCCCAAAAGGAAACTGAGGGTATGGGGCCCAGCTCAAACAGCTACAAAGACTGGGGCGCCTGGGTGGCTCAGTCAGTTGAGCGTCCAACTTCAGCTCAGGTCATGATCTCACAGCTCGTGAGTTCGAGCCCCACGTTGGGCTCTGTGCTGACAGCTTGGAGCCTGGAGCCTGCTGTGGATTTTGTGCCTCCCTCTCTCTGCCCCAACCCACTTGCATTCTGTCTCTGTCTCTCTCAAAAATAAACATTAAAAAAAAATTTAAAACAGCTACAAAGACTTATCTTTCTTTGTAAACAAATAAATTATAAGGATGTGGAAAAACTGGAAACCTGCATACGTTGCTGGCAGGAATGCAAAGTAGTACAGGCTACTTTGGAACAATTTGGTAATTCTTCAAAAAGTTAAACACAGAGTTACTACATGACCCATATCATACTACTAGATGTATACCCAAAAGAACTGAAAATATATGTCCATACAAAAACATCACGTTTGTACACAATATCCACAGCAGTCTTATTTATAATCGCCAAAAGGTAGAAACAACTCAAATGTCCATAAACTAATGAGTGGGTAAACAAAATGTGGTATGTCCACCTAATGGAGTATAATTCTGCGATACTGAGGAATGAGGTACTGATTCATGTTACAACATGGATGAACCTTGAAAACATCATGCTAAGTGAAAGACCCCAGACACAAAAAAACCCACATAGCATCTGATTCTAATTATATGACATGTCCAGAATAGGCAAATCCACAGAGACAGAAGGTAAATTAGTAGTTGCTTAGGATGGGGTTGGTGGGTGCCACTGGGTAGAGAGATTCTTTTGGGGGTAATGAAAATGTTCTGGAATTAGTGACAGTGATAACACAACATAGTGAATAAACTACAACTGAACTGCACACTTCAAAAGGGTGGATCTTGGGGAGCCTGGGTGGCTCAGTTGGGTAAGCATCCAACTCTTGATTTCAGCTCAGGTCATGAACTCACACTTTTGTGAGTTCAAGCCCTGCATCAGGTTCCGTGCACTGACTTCACAGAGCCTGTTTGGGATTCTCCCTCTCTCCCTCTCTCTCTGCCCCTTCCCCACTCATGCTTTCTGTCTCTCTCAAAATAAATAAATAAATAAATAAATAAATAAATAAATAAATAAATAAATAAATAAGGGGGGGTGGGTCTTATGGTATATAAGTTATATCTCAATAAAAATTACATCTGATTATAAAAGTAATATTTTAGGGGGCACCTGGATGGCTCAGTCAGTTAAGTGTTGGACTTTGGTTCAGGTCATGATCTCGTGGTTTGTGGGTTCGAGCCCCACGTTGGGCTCTGGGCTGACAGCTCAGAGCCTGGAGCCTGCTTTGGATCCTGTGTCTCCCTTTCTCTCTCTGTCCCTCCCCGATTTGTGCTCTCCCTCTCTCTCAAAAATAAATAAATAACCATTAAAATTTTTTAAAGTAATATTTTAGGAAATTACATAATAGAAATAATTAACTACATTGTGAAAAGGTACCATTAAAACCTCCTAATGGCAGCCCCACAGGATTACCTTTGAAGGCTATTTCCTTCCGCTACCCGTTCTCCCTGATTCTCAGGTGACCACGGTGGT